ACAGGGTTTTCAAAGCAAGGTCTGATCATTCACAGGAATTATCTAGGGTATTTGTTTAAAATGCACATCTCAATCCTCATTCCAGACCCACAGAACCTGATGCGAACAGACATTTTAAGTAGACTCTCCAGGTGATTACGAGGCATATACGGAGAACCATTGCTTAAGGCCCAGTTCAAATACCACCTCCTCTCTGACACCTGCACTGATGTAACTGATGGACAGAGTTCCCTCTTCACAACTCCCAGAACCCCATCTCACGAATGGCACGTACGCTACCATGCTCTAATTATATAGTCTCATCTTCCCTACTACACTCGACGTTTTATAGGGAAATGTCACATCTTACAGTTTTTGGGTCTTCCTCTTTGGCTAGCACAGTGCCTTACACACAAAAGATGCTGAGCAGCTGAATGGCAAGTCGGCTTGTATATAATAATATGCCTGGTTAGGCACACATCTTGGTTGATGCCATCTCAAAGTTCACCAACAGATTAATAACAGTGAATGTCACAAGTGTGTGCAGAGCCTGCAGAGATCGGCCACCAATGAGAGTAAACAGCCTGGAAACAGATTTTCACTCACATAGGAAAATCAGCATTAGGCATGCCACCCAGACATCCAAGCAAAGTGCAGAAAGTACACAACTCCTTGCAAACAGGCACCTAACTTATCCGGGACATACATTTCAAATACCCGTATTTCCAGCATTCCATCCTGAATGTAGTAACCAGAACAAGGCCTTGGTAAAATCTTCTCCAATCTTTCCATCCTCCCCATTCTGCCCACTGTACCTCTGTTACAAATACTTACCACACGGTATTGTACTCACTTATCTGCATGTCCTTGTATCCTGTGCTATTCCCAAAGGCAAAGACAAGGCTTATTTTGCTTTTCTACAGCCTTAGAAGGAATTCAAGAAAAATGTGACAGACAAATGAACAACAACAAAGAATGACTATTAAAACTGGAAACTGTTCATGTACATATTTACAAGGTTTTTCTCAAAAGAGTCCACTTTTAAATTTGAACAAAAGGTAAGGAAAGAGATTCCATTTTTTAAAAGTTATTTTCCACTACAGGGCTTTTTCTATCCCCTGGCCTATGTGCAATCTTCTAAATTTCACAGGGGCTCAATAAATGGTAAATTCCTTTCTGGCATGATCACAGCCTACTGTCACCCCTGGTGATGGTTTGATATGTTTGGGCTCCATATATTAGCTGAAAAGACATTAGCAGCCTGAGTCAGCTCAACGGGAAATAAGAGTGTAGTGTTCGGGGACATGACTCAGTCCTGCCCTCAAAACATCTCCTCCAGGAAAAAACAATCAAATCATCATGACAACAGTAACCACCCACATCACAATTACTAAATCTAAGAAGTCTGAAAGGAAGGGTGAAGACACTATAAATTAAAGAAGAAGAAATAAAGTAAAATTCTATAAGCCACGTGGAAGAGCCTTATCTTATTCCAGGAAAAAAAAAAAAAAAACTACATCAATGCCATAGTCAACTTAAATGTGTAATAAAGTGTTTTCGCTGACTATTCATATTAGCAATCTTATTTCACTCTTTTAATTAAATGCCTTCTGGGGCGCCTGGATGGCTCAGTCGTTAAGCATCTGCCTTTGGCTCAGGTCATGATCCCAGGGTCCTGGAATCGAGCCCCGCATCAAGCTCCCTGCTCAGCGGGAAACCTGCTTCTCCCTCTCCCACTGCCCCTGCTTGTGTTCCCTCTCTTGCTGTGTCTCTCTCTGTCAAATAAATAAATAAAATCTTAAAAAAAAAAAAAAATTAAATGCCTTCTATCACAGGCGATAACACACATGATGGCTGGGCCCTTCTATAGGCGTAACGAATAAAACAGAACAAAGAGAGCTCTGTTTGCTGTCGTTTGTTTCATTTGGTTTCATTTCTTCATTCTGTGTTGGACACAATCATTTAATTGAAATGGATTTCTAGCCACTTCAAAATCACACAATTTACTCTCTGGGTATAGCACAGCATGGTTCCTTTCTCGGGCTCTGTAAATGGGGATGATACCAGCATCTACATCGGAGCCTTGTTCTCAAAGCTAAACAGAAGAAAGCTTCTAGAGCCTTCAGTGAGGTGCTGGCTCAAGCGTGACAACTAGTATCATGGTCCCATCACGGCTTCTTTGGTTTCCAGTTACCTCAGCACTTACCTGCACTTCTATGAGACCTTTAAAGAAGGAGATCTACAGCCACCAATTTCAGTGTTTCTTGGAAGTTCTATTTTTTTTTTTTTTAAGTAGGCTCCATGCCCAGCGTGGAGCCCAACGCGGGGCTTGAACTCAAGACCCTGAGATCAAGACCTGAGCTGAGATCAGGAATCAGATGCTTAACCCACTGAACCACCCAGGGGCCCCTGGAAGTTCCATTTTACCAGGCAGGGGACGGGAGGGGGAGATGGGAGGGAAGAAAATGTCGGAGAAGAGATGGAAGGAAAGGCAAAACAGAACTAGAAGGATGAAGCGTGCAGTCTGCCTTTCTCAAGGCCACAGGAACTCAGAAAACAGAAAATGAGCTGTTCTTACAAATAATGCCTGTGCTTAGTGATTGCCAGGCACACATTTAAAAAATTTTTAACTCCAGATGTCAAAACACATCCCAGTCTGAGAACACAGAGCAGAACTCTGTCACAATAACTTCAAGTTCAACTAGCAAAGCCCACACAGAATTTCTTTTACAAAATCATCTCTTCCTCCTTTTCTTGTCTCCCTCTCTTGCAAGATATTTAATTTAAATTTTATCTGTACAATTTCCCACCAACTTAAAGCACATTCTATCACGAGTGTGAACCTCTCGAACGTATCTGCATCTTAGATGCCCTAGTTTGGTTTTGTTTAATTTTTTTTTTCTTTCACTTTGTCATTTCCTTCAAGAATACTTGACATGGCTAACTGTATAACAGCAGTCTCATTAATGAGCAATAATGACTTGGAAACCTTTTTCAGATAACTGTATTTGGCCAATTACTGTATGAATAAACACCATAAAAACCCATCAAGGATACTGGAAAAGATACAAGGAAGCACAGTTCCTAGTGACAACTGATATGTAAGCTGATCATCCCGACCGGCTTGCTCAATTCTGGCCCCTGACAACATACACTCCTGGGGGGAAGCCTGGGATTCCTTGAACTCTTCTAAGAAGCAAAACAAAACAAACAAAAACACCACAGAAGTATTTGGAACTAGCTCCTACTCAGGAAGAGATTAAATCTTACATGATTGCTTCCAATATTTTGTGTTTTCTACTAGATGTATATATGCCTATTAGGCTGATTGTCCTGTTGTCTCTTACTATATATTCTTAATTTTCTTTTTCCTTCTAAAATCACTCAAACCAGAATCACAGATACTAAGATGACTAAGATCAAAGAGGTAATCGAGTTCCAGTTAGTTAGAAATCATTCCTGTGATAGGCAGGACAGCCTCTGTTTAAATATTTTCTTTTTAAGGGGACTCTCTGTTGAGAAATGGCTCTAACCATTGGGGAAAAAAATTAAAAACAACATCAGCGATTAATTTTAGCCCAGATTTACTGTGTGCCAGACCCTGTGCTAACAGGCATGTTACATGTATCACCTCAATTAATCCTCATAATGAAACTTTGAGGGAGGTATCATTGCGTCCATTCTAACTATGAGAAAGACTCACAGGGGTTAAGCCACTTGCCCAAAGACACACAGCTGTCAACTGACAGAAAACCTAAGACAGATACCCAGGCCCAAGCCTCACAACTTTTATTCACAGCCCCTAATAATGCGACCTCTCTGTCCCTCTTCTCTAGGTCAGATCTTCAAATATGTGAAAACCATCCAAGAAGCATCTGGCACTGCCCTACGCTTTCCCCCAGGCTTCCTTGCCAGAATGGAGAGGAATCTGTGAGCTGAGTCCAGGCTCCTGCAGATAGAGGTTACCTATGAGGAAGAAGGGAAAGCCAGGCCTCCGGGCTCACAAATCTTGCACTTCCCTGCACCTCATCTCTTCTGTCTCACTCCAACCTTAATCTCCAACCCCATGACTTTACCTGCGGTCTCTCCACATTTCTTAGTGACCCAGAGGGCCTGCTCTTCTCCATTCTGCTGCACGAGGCCCTGTGCCCAACCCTGAACCAGAGCCACTGCCCTCCAAGGCCAGAGAGCAAATGTCCTACTATGGGAAGTGGGGAGGGACTCAGGGCAATCCACATCGGCTCCCCTCCCCTTACTGCTTACGCAGTGAGCTCCTGCTCAAACACCCAATCCTGACCGCCTTCCCAGGGAGGATTTATACTCTGAAAGAATATTTTTTAATTACATTCAGATAGTGATTTAAAAAAAAAAAGCTCTGAAATTAAGTTCAGAAATACTCATTTTTATGAAGCAATGGTCCTGCAGAGAAGAGCTGTAAAGATCTTTCTCAAGTACCTGCACACACAGGTAGGATTTAATGAGAGGCCTCATTTTCCCACTTAACCTCAGTCAGGTGGCACTGCCAACAGCAAGGACAGCAAACAACACAACTTGATAGGTCTGAGTATTCTTATATTGTATTTTGTTGTATTTTCAGAAATATCTTGAATTTGGGGCACTATTATAATGAAATAAGGACAAAAAAGGATTATACATTGGCCTTGTTCTTAAATAGTTTGGAAGACAAACTGCACTCAGGTGATATGCGTCAACTGCCTATGGGCAATTGCAAAGCAACATATCAAAAAATTTGAAATTAAGAAGTACAAGTCCAACACTTTAATGTTAACAAGGAAAATTTCCAAACACAAGAAGTCTTCACAAAATTAGATGTGAGAAATTAAGTTCTTCCAGAGTTAAGTGTCAGAGATAAGTCTGGAGGGCAACAGGAGGAAAGAAAGATGGTGAGGCGATCCCCACACGGGTATGTAAATGCATATGAAAATGAGTATGCAAACGAAGTTAAAGAAGAAAGTCTTTTTTAAGAGAGCCTATAAATAAAACGTTGGATTCTTTTCTACCTGAATTTACCAGTTGCTGTTCCATCACCCCGCAGCCAAGCACTTCTAGCCATTCTCCATGGAAGTTGATCTCCATCTCAAAGGAAGGATGAGTAAAAGGAAAGTAGCAGTCTACCCATCTAATGTCCAGTCCTGAAAAGATGCCAAATAAAAACAGATAGTGTTAAAAGGCAGTCTATCCTTCCTTATGATCAAGCTTGCCCTTCCATTAATGACAACAATTACGACATTCTGAGTAAAATAAATAGCAAACAAACTCATTTGCAACACGTTAGGGGGAGGTAATAAATCTTAAAACTTGTGAAAAACTGGGCATGTCTTTTTCAATATGAAAAACACTTTGTGCAGCTCCAGGACCCTCTAAAACCAAATCAGTCACTTGTCAAATCCCTGCAAACACCTGGCAGAAGGAAAAAATTAGGTAAGATCGTGGGAAAGCTGGTGATTCTGTTAGTTCTATAAGTGAAAATGATATCTTTTCAGAGTTAAAGAAAAAGGAGTTTTACTATATATGCTGCAAACTTACTTATCAACAATATGACCAATATAGGATAAACTAACCAACTTTTACTTCTGTAAGTATATATATATATATATTTTTTAATTAAGTTTATAAGAACAAATAAAAAACTAAGATCAACTAAATGTAAGCAAAACATCTAGAAAGTCAAATTTTTTTTCTACAGAGGAATGACAAATATTCACACATCTAAACAAACAAGTAAATGCTAGAATGAATTTCTCAGTAAGCAATCTTGAACATGGCACTCATAAACAATATTATTATTAATTAACAAAGGAAAAGACTAATGAATTAAAAACAATTAAACCCTGCAAAGAGCACACGTTACTAACAGCAGAAAAAGCAGATGCAAAGGTCACGTGGTAGCTAGATACCCACCATGAGGAACACAGAAAAGTGGGCAGCTGACGAATCATCTACGGTCTCCTGCCCTGGCTCCCTTCACTTTGTGTAATGATCTTTCTGTTCTTTAAGCAAACGCTCCTGATTCCATTTCTCCATGGTAACATGACCTCCTACGAACTGAGAATACTGTCTTTTCTCACCCAAGACTATCTGCATTTTAAACCTTGTGGGAATCAGAATGTGAAATGAAAAAAATAAAAATAACAAAAATTGCTTCCATTTATTGAGGACTCTGTCAGCCCACCTCACAGGGAAAAAGATGAATAGATAGCTCAAGTGTAGAGGCACAGAGCTAGCAGATGACTAGGCCAAACCCAGGTCGGCCCGACTCCAAAACTCCCGCTCTTGACAATTAAAATATAATTCCTGCCCATCAAAATAAGGTATTTCAAGAATCAAAAAGCACATGAGAACAGGGGCACCTAGGTGGCTCAGTAGGTAAGCATCTGCCTTCGGCTCAGGTCATGATCCCAGGGTCCTGGGATCGAGCCCCACGTCCGGCTCCCTGCTCCGCAGGAAGCCTGCTTCTCCCTCTCCCACTCCCCCTGCTTGTGTTCCCTCTCTCGCTGTCTCTCTCT